TCGTTGCACGCGCGGTCGACCAGATCTTTCAAGGTCATTAATAGTGCCAGCCTTGTTGAACTTTTCAATGGTTCGATAAACGAATTGACAGGAATATTCAAATTCTGTAAAAGTTTAAAAATGGATGAAGGATTTTAGCCTACCTTGTGTAAGGCTATTACAGCTATATGGTTTTCTTTAACATTCCAATCCATTAACAAAAAAACAAATATATTCACATTTTTTTTAAACACGTGTGCACGATATATTCAAATAAAAACTACCGTATTTTGAATACTTCACGCGGTCAAATTAAAAATTTTATCACTGATTTGGTTTTGTAACAATATATATGGCTCGACTAATTATAATGTTGGTAAACTTCAAATATATGATATTCTATTGGACTATCACAAACAAAATTTTCTTGATACCTTGTAATTTTTAAGCCTAACCAATAATTTGTATATTGGGTAACTAAATCCTTCTACCTGACATATTCTTTCTTTGGGGAATTGTCTAATATTTTATAATAAATATAGTTTAAATATTTTACATGAATCTGTGCGGTCCAATGGCTAAACAATTTTCAGGAGCATCAAGGTATTTCTTTGTTCTAGTGGGTGACTTCAGCAGAAAGACTTTTGTCTACTTTCTAAAGTAGAAACTTTTGATAGATTTAGAGATTTCAGGCGAGAGTCGAAAATGAACTAAATTTAAAAATAAGGGATGTGCGAACTGATAATGGCACGGAGAGTTCATCAATGATAGATTTAAAGGTGTCCTAATAAAGAACGAAATTTACCGCCAACTCACCACCACCTACTTGTCTCAAACAACGGAGTTGCGGAGAGAATAAACCGAAATCTAGTGGAAACAGCGCGAACACTATTGATCGACTCAAGGTTACCTATGCCTTTCTGGACAGAGGCTGTAGCTACGGCGGCTTATGTCAAGAATTGTACTCCGCATAAGTCGCTCAGATATATTACGCCAATGGAAAATGGAAAGGGAGAAGGCTTTTTATAAGACATTTTAGAATATTTGGCTGTTTAGTGTATTGGCCTACTAATAAACAACGTAGAAACAAATTTTCGCCTAAAAGTCAAAAGGGCATATTTATAGTTTATTCCTTAAGTAGAAAGGCTCGCTGAGTCTATATTATTTTTACTGAGAAAATAGAAGTTAGATTAGTGAAATATATAGAAAATATGAAAGGAATTCATTATTCAAATAATCTCACAAAAGACACGAATTATGACGATTTATCACACAGAAATGAAAATAAAGACAATATTGGCGAAAATATAACCTTAAAAGAATATGAAAAGCCAATTAATAAAGAAAGCGACGATCTAGAGATTAGACCAGGGACATCAAATGTAGACACTATCACGGATTCTAGACAAGAGGAACTTATCGAAGAAGTAAATGTAAACCAGGCGCAAGAAAGGAAATACCCAAAAGGTTTTGGGGGAAAGACAAAGATAAAAATCAGAGAAAATAAAATCAAGTTGCAAGAACAAGGAGTTAGGTGTTCACGAAGGATCAAAGAAATGAATATGGCGAACATGATATGTCGTTCTTATAGATGGGTCCTCTTCTTGAAGTCGCTCTTATAGCTAGATCCTCTTCTTGAAGCCGCTCTTATAGCTGGATTCTCTTCTTTAAGTCATTCTTATAGCTGAATCCTCTACTTGATATCGCACTTATAGTTGAATTCTCTTCTTGAAGTCGCTCCTATGGCTAGATCCTCTTCTTGAAGCCGCTCTTATAGCTGGATTCTCTTCTTTAAGTCGTTCTTATAGCTGAATCCTCTACTTGATATCGCACTTATAACTGAATTCTCTTCTTGAAATCGCTCCTATAGCTAGATCCTCTTCTTGAAGCCTCTCTTATAGCTGGCTTCTCTCCTTTTAGTCGTTCTCATAGCTGAATCCTCTACTTGATATCGCACTTATAGCTGAATTCTCTTCTTGAAGTCGCTCCTATAGCTAGATCCTCTTCTTGAAGCCGCTCTTATAGCTGGATTCTCTTCTTTAAGTCGTTCTTATAGCTGAATACTCTACTTGATATCGCACTTATAGCTGAATTCTCTTCTTGAAGTCGCTCCTATAGCTAGATCCTCTTCTTGAAGCCGCTCTTATAGCTGGATTCTCTTCTTTAAGTCGTTCTTATAGCTGAAATCTCTACTCGTTATCGAACTTATAGATGAATCATTTTCTTAAAGTCGCTCTTTTAGCTAAATTCTCTTCTTGAAGCCGCTCTTATAGCTGAATCCTCTTCTTGAAATCGCTCTTTTAGCTGAATTCTCTTCTTGGAGTCGTTCCAATAGCTGCATCCTCTTCTTGAGGCCTCTTCTATAGCTAGATCCTATTTTTAAGTCGTTCTTTTAGTTGAATCCTCTTCCTGAAATTGTACTTATAGCCGGATACTCTCCTTGAGGTCGCTCATATAGCTGGATTCCCTTTTTGAAGTTCACTTCAGCCACATTTAGCCTCTTGGCAAAGAAATCATACCGCTTGAACTCGATTCCCCAAGGGCGGTCACTCAGATCCCGGAAAGCTCGCTTCATTCTTTCACTAAATATATTTTTAAAATATCTTCGAGACAAGCTGATGTTATCATATTATTCACTAATTAGCCCGCTAAACCTAGTTTAGAACTTGATTTGCATAAACATTTTCTTTATACCTCATTTACATATTTTATTTGTTATAATCTTGAATTTGCATAGGCCTCTCTGATTTCATAAAATTTATTACCAAAATTCACGATATATCCAACTTTTCAAATTATAATAATTTCAAGAGTAAATATATTCTTTCCATTCCAAAACTTCTGCATCCATATTCATCCAACCAGCTAGAGAGACCATAAATGTTTGGTAGATTCCGCTGGTTATAGTAATTCACTTTTGAAATTCTAGGTATAATTGGCGCGGTAGGGCCAAACAAAGACCCTTCAGCTAACTGATCTACACATGCTCCTTACATAATTGATAAAGCATTATATTCGTCGGACAAACATTAACTCTGTGAGAACTCGGACGAAGCATATTCATTGTAATGACCACTATTCTATTTTTAAAAGAGCATTTTATTTTAGAAATATATTTACAGTTGAAATTCGAATAGGGTTAACTCCAGTGTTCCTCAGGTTATCCGATTACTTGGAATAAAATATTAGATATAATATCTTATAGCACACTTTCATGTAAACCTAATGCTCTCATTTTATTTAACTCTTTATGTTTTCACTCAAGATTATCCTTTCAATAGCCCAGACTGCCGATTTCTGATATCAATTGTTTATTTTTAGAAATCAGGTGTTTATTTCTATTGTTCGTATTATTCTATTCGAATAATACAAACAGGAACAGCTTTGTGCAATGTATTTTTTATACCTCTCTCTGCATAATGGTTTTGTTGTCTCCAGATGGTTTTCTTTGAGCATCTGGTTCTTTCTTCTTCTCCTATATAAAACATTTCCAGGACTCAGTTAATTTCATACGTCTACTGACAAGGTAAGTATTGATCTTCCTTAATTTTTTCCAGTTTGATATGGTGGTTAAACTTCTAAAGTATTGATTAAAAAAACGTTTTTTTCCGTATTTGAAGTCACTTTTATTAGTTCGAAACAAACTTGAGTATAAGTTAATAATAAATTTATTTTAAACAATCATTTTTAAATCTAAAAGTTTGCTTATACTACGATTTTTCTCAACATTAGTAAATCGTGAATGTCATTTCATTTATCATATCCGTATTTGATTGACGATACATATTTTTTATTGTATATATATTAAAAGGGTAGATTAAGTGTTTGTGAAACCTTTTTATCAAATATAATTGCTATGTTCCAGAATATTTTTTAGAGAAAAAATCATAAAATAATTATAAATAATTTCAATAGATATTTAGAATATTCTCCCTTTCTGAATTTGTCAAGATTATCCCAATTTTTATATTTGTGTTTTCTAAATAAATTTCTTTACGAATCAATATACCTTCGGTATTGTATTTAATATAAAATTGATTGTACGGTGTTATGCCTTGTTATAAATAAGAAAATACTCTTACCTTAAGGATTTATATCTTAGTTTTATTTATTTAACTATTTACGAGGTAATTATTTAACTTATAACAATCACAGCTATGCCGGAACTTTCGCCAGCCTAAGGTAAACAAAACAGTAATAATATGATGATGATCATCTTCCCGATGAATCCGCAGGGTTGTCAGATCGTAACTTATTCTCAACATTATCTTAATAGAATGGTAATATTTATATATAAAAATATCAACAAAGTAATAATAACCTAATACAATATTGTCTGATTTCCAGATGAAGTGTTACTTCCTAATCATTTTCTTGATGGTTGTTGTTGTCCGTTCCTCGGAAGCAGGTGAGTGTAAGGAATATTAGCCAATAATGCGAAAAGACAATGTTCAAAGAATTTATTTATATGTAGTTATAATAGTTTCTCGAGGTTTATGTCCATAATTCACTTAATAACTATGAATACTTATAATTTACTGGATATATAGGTTAATCAGTCCAATCTAACATAAGTGGCGAAATCAAAGAGTGTTTTTCACTTTAGAATGCTAATTACTACCAAATTTGATCAATTCATACTATAAGAGCAGTAAAAAAATAATTATATTTGGAAATAAATATTTACAATAAAATATATATACAATTTTCTTTTCTTAATTAACAGATATGATATATTATAACTATGCTTGTTGAGTTTTTTTTTTCAATTGCATTGTGTGTGGAAAAAACTAAAGAAAGTGGAAAGTGATATCTATATTTTCTATTTGTTTTCTATGTTCACACTTGGCTATCTCGTGTGCATTCATTAGAGATCACTGTTAAAATTATGACATGAGTATTTTCGAGATGACAGAGCGCCATTCATAGCATATGCCTTTTTTGTTTTTAATATCAACACCTCACATTTCTTTTATTTATAAATAATTTTCAAAAAATGACTCTGCATGAAATATTTTTTATTGTTTGAATCCTGATATACATCCCCCGAGGTACAACCTTCTTAAGTGTTGTCCATGAGTGTATAAACGGTTATTATAGTTTTATATTTGAAAACTCATAGATCAATCTTGATATTTTGCGAAACGAAATAAATGAGGAGAAAAACTGAGGCTACTCATAATAAATTCTCTATTTGAAAAATAATTTATAAAAAAATATTATATATCGAAAAATGATATATTTTGTGTTTTTCAAATTTAAAATTATAAAGTAATGAAACAAAACTGCATAAATTATGAAATATATCCTTGTTGTATAGTTATTATTTAATTTAACATTACTCACCAGATGAAATTATTATTACAAATTATTTATTACACTTTATATTTATAATTTTTACATCAACACGTTGTTTACATTATACATCGTATTATTATTGTTTATGATGATGATCTATTCTATATTTTAAACACAGAATACTACATTCCCTCCTTCCTTTAGATGAAAGGAATCATGTCTTTATATCTTGATGATGGCTTGACGACTCTTCCACTCCTGGTGATCACGGGTTCCTTGGTAGTCGGCAAGGGTGGAGAAACCTCTGGTGGCAACTGTTGAAGAGCCTCGGCATCAAGTCTATCTGAAACAACTGGGTTAAATGTAGACCCTGTTCTACTTGAACTTGGTCGGTTTAAAGAAGTGTCCTTGTCTTGGTTTGAGGAAATATCATCTGGTATTTGTACATCAGAAGAGTTGAGGTGTTCAATTCTTGTTGAATCTGAACTAAGATTTTCCTGGCTCTCTTCTGGAATCAAGTCAGAAATGCCTTGATTGGTCTCTTGAGTAGGAACATGTTTCAAATGTTTAGCATTTCTATGAATTATTTTCCCATTTTTAGTGTTGACTAATTTAAAAGAATTTATTGAAGTGTTTTCAAGAATGACATGATGTTCTGATCTGAAATTTGAATCAAGTTTTCCATTATCTGGATTTGCCACATAAACTAAATTTCCAATTTCAAAATTATGAGGACTAGCTTTCCGAATTATATCATTATATGTTTTCATTTTTTCTTTGTAGACCATATTGAATTCTTTGATGTTGGATTCATCTTCTTCTGCATCATTAACAAGTGAGCTTAATTTAGTTTTGATTTCTCTTGAAAATAATAGGAATGCTGGAGTCTTTCCTGTAGATCTGTTTGGAGTAGTTCGGTAAGACATTAAAATTCTGGATAAATCTTCTTTCCAATCTTTCCCTTCTTCAGAACTTGAATTGAATTGTTTCTTTAGAAATCTATGGAATCTTTCTATCTTCCCATTACTTTTTGGGTAATAGGGTGAGGCTTTGATGTGCTTGATTCCACATTCTTTTAAAAATCTTTCCATTGATGTACTTACAAACTGTAAGCCATTATCTGTTACAACTTCATGTGGATAACCATGTCTTGCAAAAATCTCCATCAATTTTTTAATAATTGTCTTGCTGGAAATGTCTTCTATTGTCATTGCTTCAGGATATGAAGAATAGTAGTCGATCACTGTTAAAACATAATGATGGCCAATTGGACCAACTATGTCAATTCCAAGTTTCATCCAAGGTTTTGATGGTAACGGAACTATTTGCAATGGTTGATCATTTATCAATGGTTGATTCCTTACACAAATTGGACAGTTTCTTATCAAATTTTCAATGTCAAAGTCCATGTTTATCCAAAAATATTTTTCTCTTAACAGTTGTTTGGTTCTTGTCATTCCTTGATGTGTTTCATGTGCAATTCTCAAGGCTCTCTTTATTAGTTTTGAAGGTAGCAAAATTCTACTTCCTTTTAAGATAAGATTATCAAAAATTAAGAGTTCATCTTTAAACTTATAAAACATTTGAATTCTTCATTCAAAGGATATGGCCAAACTCCCTTTTGAACCATCTCTTTCAGTTTTTGAAACAAAGGATCTTGCTCTGTACAAACTTTTATCTCTTTCAAAGACAGTGCTTGAAGCTCTTCAGAAGTGATGGATAAGACTTTATGAACATAGTCCTCCAACCATTTTTCTTCACTTGTGTTAGAAAGAGGTTGTCTTGAAAATATATCTGCAATATTTTGCTTTCCTTGAATGAATTCAATTTCAAAGTCATATATGGTTGTAATCTCCAACTCAATCTTTGAATTCTTGGAGGCAAAACAGCTCCATTTTTAGGATTCAGCATATAGATTAGAGGTTTGTGATCTGTTTTAACACAAATTTCCTTCCCCAAATATAGGTGTTAAAATGTTCAATTGCCCATAAACATCCCAATGTCTCTTTTTCTATTTGTGAATATCTTTTTTCAGTATCAGTTAAGGATCTGCTGGCATATGCAATGGGTCTTTTAATGCCATTTTGTTGTGATTGTATTAATACTGCTCCAAGACCAATAGGGCTTGCATCTGTGATTAATTCAGTTGGTGAGTTCAAGTTGTAATATGCCAAGCAAGGTTCTTTTGTTAGTGACTCTTTAAGATCCTGAAATGCTTTATTTGTTTTCAAATCCCAACTCCACCTAACATTTTTTCTAGTCAAATTATTTAGAGGTTCTGCCAATTTAGAAAAATTAGGTATGAATTTTCTTAAAAACCCACAAGTTCCTAAGAATGACCTTAACATCTCAATATTTTTTGGTATTGGAAAATTTAAGACTGCTTCTATTTTCCTATTATCAGGTTTAATACCTTCACTACTAACAATCTGACCTAAAATATCCAATTCTTCCATGGCAAATTTGCACTTATTCCTGCTGAGCCTAATGCCTACTTTATCAAATCTTTGTAAGACTTTTCTAAGCCTTTCTTCTAGTTCTTGTCTATCTTTGGCGTAAACTACGACATCGTCCAAGTAACAAATTACACCTTTCAAATCAAGCAAAATTGAATCCATTCCTTTCTGATATGCCTCTGGAGCACTTGATAGACCAAAAGGAACTTTACAAAATCTGTAACAACCACGGTGCGTGATGAAAGTTGTAAGGGGTCTTGATTGAGGGTCTAAGTCAACCTGCCAAAACCCTTTTTTTGCATCCAGCTTTGCAAATACTTTAGCACCTTTAAGGGCATGTAACATATTGTCAATTGTAGGAATTTGATGTCTTTCTCTCAATATTGCTTTATTCACTTCCCGAAGGTCTATGCATAGTCTAATTTCCTCACTATCCCTTTTTGGAACAACTATTATGTTAGAAACCCATTCAGAACCTTGATGCACTTCTTCAATGATTCCATTCTCTAGCATCTTATCAAGCTCTTTATTTACTGCTTCTACCATTGCATAAGGTATACGACGGCATCTCTGGACAATGGGTCTATAGTTGTCTTTCAATGTCACTTTATGACTATAGCCTTTTATAGTTCCAAGTCCATGGAAAAGATGTTCATGTTCTTGAACAAGAGTTTCTATATTAGTAGACATTGATTCATTTACATGATTTACCCTTTTAAATATACCTAGTTCAAAACTAGCCTTGCCTCCCAACAAAGATTCAACTTTTTTATCAATCACATAAATTTCTTCTGAAAATGAATTTTTTTTCCAAGAAATCACAGCATTGAAATAACCATAACATGGAAGAGGTCTATCTTGACCACAGGCAAAAAAGGTTCGGGTGGTGTCATGTAATTTTGGCATAATTTTATGGCCATATAATTCAAGCATCTTATTATAGCTTATGAAAGTTCTATCACTCCCTGTATCAATTATCATATTTATTTCACTACCATCTATTTGCACTTTTTCCTTATTTTCAGCACCTGTATAGTAGGTATATTCATCTGAACTTTCACCTACTTCAGTCTTATTTTCTTCTTGTATGGTCTTAACTTTAGTTTGATTGAAACTTTTGTGGTTTCTATTATTATTTTGATTTGGGCGGTTCCTGCAAGCTCTAAAAAGATGTCCTAATTTATTGCAATATGAACAAGTCATTTTTTTAGCACCACATTCTTGTGCTGAATGTGTATCTAATCCACAGCGATAACATTTAGGCTTTGAGGCACCTGAAAATGATGGGGTACCTTGATTAGTGAATCTACTTTTGTTGAAATTATTAGCATTATAGTGCTTTTTAGGTTTATTTTGAACTCTATTTAGTGTTTGATCATTTTGAGGTTCAAGAAGTCTAATTTCTTTTCTAGAAATTTCTAACATTCTAGCAATATCAATGGTTTTTGACAGTGTCGAATTTTCTTGTTGCAACAATTTTTCTTTAGGTTTTTTGTTGTTACATTTTTCAATTATTTGGTCTCTTATCATATCAGCTTCTAAACTCCCAAATTCACAAGATTTAGAAAGCTCTCTTAAAGAAATTAGGTAGTTGTCGATCGATTCATCATCTTTCTGGACTCTTTGTCTAAATTTAAATCTCTCAGTGACCACATTTTTATGAGGTGTGAAATATTTATCTAAAGCCATTTTAGTTTGTTCATAATTTTCCTTTTCATCTGGCAAGTTAAAAATATACGTTGTACATTTGGCCCTAAACAATGCAATAGAGTTGCTCTCTTAATTTCATCCGATTTTTTTGAAATTCCAGATGCTATTTCAAAAATGGCATAGGATTCCATCCATTGATTATATTCCGCAAATAAATTGCTTGCATTCATATTCATGGGTAAAGGTGGCGTCAGGTTGGCTGCCATACTTGTTTTTATTTTTTGTTTTTTTTTAGGGCTACAGTTATATTTTCAAATTCTCGTCGCCAATTTATGTTGTATAGTTATTATTTAATTTAACATTACTCACCAAATGAAATTATTATTACAAATTATTTATTACACTTTATATTTATATTTTTTACATCAACACGTTGTTTACATTATACATCGTATTATTATTGTTTATGATGATGATCTATTCTATATTTTAAACACAGAATACTACAATCCTGATATATGATTATAAATATTATGCTCAATTGTTGGAAATAAAAAATTATATACTGAGAAGTATATTTTGGAATATTTAGAAATCCTTTAAAATTGAATTTGAAATATCAGTAATTTTGGTGTTATTTATAAAATATAAGAAACCAAAATCACAACTAGGTATTCTCTGTTATTCTCTTAATATACGAGATATATCAACAAAATATTTTAGTATGGAAATGGAAAAATTGGTGATATCGAGACTATGAATTATAATCCATTTAAATCTGTAGGGACACCACTCATTCTCAATAATTATTCTAGAAAATGTAAATTCAATTTGTATATTTTATTTTTGGTTATAATTGATAGTTTAGAAATTATAATCTTTTTGTAAAAAATATTTGTTATCATCATTAATAATATTGTTGCCTTCGAATTGTAAAGTAAAATATATAAAGACATTTTAGATATAAGATATTGAATTAATATGTGTGAAGAAAAATAAATAGTTTAATTATTCAAAGTTGTAATAATTGAGCCTCAAGAAATTCTCAAACATATATTGGTGAGCAAGGACGTGATCCAAATAAAGCCAAAATATGAAGGTAAGCCAAGCCTAAAAAAAATAACAACTTTGAATTAGCGATTCCTGTTCAAGATCCAGATTTTATTTTACATATTACCCATTTATATTATTGCTAATTTTTCTTTTAATATTACCTTTAGATAATTTCGTCTAATATTTTTAAATTTTTGCCTATTACTTTAATTAGATTTTCTTTATCAAAATATTATTTTTAACAAAAAAAAAAATGGAATCAGAAAATAAGCCTAGCCAAATTGCTACAGAATTATGCAAAGTCAGCATTAAGATCCCACCTTTCTGGGTTGAAAAGCCCGAATTATGGTTTCATCAGGTTGAAGCTCAGTTTGAAATAAATGGCCTTGTTCAGGAAGAAACGAAGTTCAATTATTTGATCTCCCAGCTAGAACCGAAATACATGGAAAGTATTTGGGATATAATGAATAGCAGAAGCGACACCAAATACTCTGACTCTAAGTTGCGGCTGCTAGAATCGTTCAGACAAAGTGAAGGTCAGAGAATAAAACAACTTATTTCCGGTATTGACCTAGTAGACATGAAGCCAAGCCAATTACTACAAAAATTAAGATCCCTCGCTACCCCAGATGTTCCTAAAAATTTGATTAAAACCTTATGGCTGGACAAATTGCCAGTCTCAATCAAAAACATCTTAATAGTAACCGACGAGCAAGTTGGCCATAATGGCTGATAAGATAAATGAAATAAATCCCTCAAAGGAACTATACCAGGTAAAGGAAGCCTCATCCCCAATGGAACAGTTGCTCGCTAAAATGGAAGACCTCGAAAAACAGGTGTCTGAATTGCGACTGGAGAGGTCGAGATCTCGATCTGAAAATAGGACCTATTCAAGACCACGAAGCAATTCTCGGAAACGCTTCAACCCTGATGGTAAATATTGCTTTTACCACTTCCGTTTTGGCGCCAAATGCTTACCAAACAAGTGCAAGCCTCCATGTAGCTGGAAGGAGTCGGGAAACGGGAACCAGCGGCAAAACTAGCGACTAGTTTTGTTGCTGACCAAATACAGGATAGTCGCAAACATCGTCTTTTTGTTAAGGACAAAGAAACGGGTCTGCAGTTCCTGATAGACAGCGGTGCTGACGTCAGCGTAATTCCGCCAACTGATAAGGATGTGCCAAGCACAAACTCTTGCTATATGCTGCAAATGGTTCCAAAATAGTAACATTTGGCACTAAGGTGATCAAAATAGATTTGGGCCTAAGGCGATCCTTTCAGTGGTGTTTCATCATCGCCAAAGTGAACAAAGGAATTATTGGAGCTGACTTTTTAAAATAATTTCAAGTTGATACTTGACATTAGCAATAAAAGGCTAATTGATGGCATAACTAACCTCTCAATTCGAGGTGATGTCATGTCCATCGACAGCACAAGTATCACCAGCACCATAAACAAGAACGAAAAATATTACAATATATTGGCACAGTTCCCCGAAATAACTAAGCCCAATTTTTTAATAAATAAAGTCAAACATGACGTCGAACATCACATTATTACAAAGGGACAACCAGTTTTCTCGAAACCAAGACCATTGGACCCAATGAAACTGAAATTAGCAAAAGAGGAATTCCAGTTCATGCTTAATAATGATATAATCCGCCGATCAAGTTCACAATGGTCAAATCCACTGCACATGGTCTTGAAGAAAAATGGGACGTTTAGACCTTGTGGTGATTACAGAAGGTTAAATGACTGTACAGTTCCAGATAGATACCCAATTCCAAGATTAAACGATTTTAGTCACATACTGAACAAAAAGAAAATATTTTCAAAGGTCGATCTTTTTAAGGCATATTTTCAAATTCCAATAGCCGAAGAAGATAAGCCAAAAACTGCTATACCACACCTTTTGGATTGTTTGAGTTTAATGTTATGAGCTTTGGACTAAGGAATGCACCATCAACATTCCAGAGATGCATCCACCAAACTCTCCAAAACCTTGATTTTACATTCCCATATCTAGATGATATCCTAATAGCTTCCGAGTCAGAAGAGGAACACCAAAACCATCTGAAGATAGTATTTGAAAGATTTAGCAAATACGGATTGAGAATAAATATGGAAAAATCTGTCTTTGGAGTTAAAGAAATATAATTCTTGGGTTATTTAATTACGCCTGAAGGATTTAGCCCACTTCCAGAACGCGTAAAAGTTATCCAAGAATATAAATTGCCTACTACGATTCAGGAATTACGAGCCTTTTTAGGCATGTTAAATTTCTACCGTCCATTTTTGAAAGATGCTGCGGAAACACAATCCATTTTGCACGATTACCTCAAAGATTCAAAAAAGAAAGATAAAAGATTAATTAATTGGACCGAAGAAGCAAAAGAAATATTCAATAAATGCAAGAATGACCTAGCAAAAGCAACACTGTTAAGCTATCTCAATTCAGAACTACCTCTGTCGCTTTGCACAGATGCTTCAAATTGGGCGATAGGCGCAGTTTTGCAACAATACGAGAACGAAGCATGGAAGCCAATTGCATTCTTCTCGAAGAAGCTAAATGAAAGTCAAAAAAATTATAGTACTAATGATCGAGAATTACTAAGCATATACATGTCAATCAAACATTTCAAATATATGCTGGAAGGAAGAACATTTAAAATATTTACTGATCATAAGCCCCTAGTCTTTGCCTTCAAGCAAAGAAATGATAAGGCATCTCCGAGGCAAGTTAGACAACTACAATACATTTCACAATTCCCTACAGATATCATCTACATCAAAGGAGAACAAAACATAGTTGCTGATAACTTATCGAGAATAGAAGACATCACCAAGATAATCGATTATGATGAGATAGCAAAAGAACAAGATAAAGATATGGAACTTATAGAACTTATCAAAAAAATTCGAATAAATCTCTAAAATTCAAACGCTATCCATTACCATCTGGTAAAAGTTTGTGGTGCGACACATCTACTGAAAATATTAGACCATTCGTTCCCAAACAATTCAGAATGAAAATTTTCCAACAAATACATGGATTATCACACCCTGGAATTAAAACATCTGTGAAAGACATGACATCGAGATTTATATGGCCAGACATACAAGTAGATATAAAAGAATGGGCGCAAACTTGTATTCAACGCCAAAGAAATAAAACTTCTCGCCATACAAAATCAGAAATTAAGCAATTTAAAGAACCTGATGAACGTTTCAGCACGGTTCACATAGACTTAATCGGCCCATTTCCACCCTCCAACGAATATGTTTATTGCCTCACGTGCATAGACCGTTTCACTGGTTGGATTGAAGCAATACCCATACGAAACGAAACTGCCGAAACAGTAGCAAGAGCATTTTACGAAGGATGGATCACCAGATTTGGAGTCCCATATGAAGTGATCACCGACCAAGGAAGGCAGTTCACTTCGGAATTGTTTAAAACCTTGGCGACTTTAAGTGGAGTGAAACTTAAGCACACCACCGCATATCCCCCACAAAGTAACGGAAAAATTGAAAGATTCCATAGAACACTAAAAGCAGCAATAAGGGCGCACAACTCAAATAAATGGACGGAGTCAATTCCCACGGTACTGCTAGGACTAAGAGCAGCCTTGAGAAAAGACTCTGACTACTCATTGACACAAAAGGTCTATGGAAAAACAATTAAACTTCCAGGCGAGTTTTTCGACGCCCCTAAAATTTCAACCACCCCGGAGACATTTCTCCACAAACTGCAAAAGCAGATGGAATCACTCAAGCCCAAGTTAACACGACACAATACGTCCCCCAAAATATTTGTTTTCAAGGACTTAGAGACGTGTTCTCATGTCTTCTTGAAGACATGCAGAGTGAGAAAATCATTGGAGCCTGCCTATGGGGGCCCATTCAAAGTTACTTCTAGGACGGACAAATACTTTTCAATCGAAATTAAAGGAAAGGAAAATAAATGTTTCCATCGATAGACTCAAACCAGCCTACATACTAAAAGAGGAAGAGGACATAGCCACCACACCTGGAGTAGCTGGGGACCAAAGACTCGCCCCACCTGGAGAGGATAAAGAACCTTCCGCCAGTGCTGCCCCCAAGATGTCAAGATCTGGAAAGACAATAAGAACCCCTGTTCGTTTCAGAGAGAAGGTGGAATGTTACCCAGGTTAGGAGTTGTTGTCCTACATGGTCCTCATCTCGTAACTTAGTTACTTGGGAGGGAGTGATGTAGGGAAACCACTCATTCTCAATAATTATTCTAGAAAATGTAAATTCAATTTGTATATTTTATTTTTGGTTATAATTGATAGTTTAAAAATTATAATATTTTTGTAAAAAATATTTGTTATCATCATTAATAATATTGTTGCCTTCGAATTGTAAACAAACTTTGTATATAAATACATTTTAGATATAAGATATTGAATTAATATGTGTGAAGAAAAATAAATTGTTTAATTATTCAAAGTTGTAATAATTGAGCCTCAAGAAATGCCCACACAAATTCAGTTCTATATTAGTTTCTCAAATTTTGAAAACAAACCTATCTATTTCTTTTCAGAAACTGCCTATCTAGTATTACAATCTTTGAAAAACCATTACCATAAACTACTCTCTTTATTTTATAGTTTAATATATATTACATAAAAAGAAGGCACATTATCAAATGTATTACGGTATTGTAAAAAATATATTTTTTCGTTTGAACTGACTCAAATATTCCTATATTCATTTTTTATTAGCATTTGATTCTATTCAAATTTTTGAATCATTAAAAATATTATTAACCTTGTGTTCGTTTTAATATATTTCCTAGATAGAACAAATAGTGCAATAAGTTGGAATATCACAACTATTTTCTTTTTATAATCTATATTAATAAAATGGAAATTTCATAAGTGTTGTTCGCTAAAAAATTTCGTTACAATGCATCAATTTCGACCAAATTTTCAACATTTATGTAAAACGAGATGGAGCAGGTTTTGCTTAACATCAAAATATATTTCCTAACATTAACATGCGTAACTTCGGTGTTATCGATTAAATACAAAAAAATATCAACAGAGTTAATTTTATTTATATATAAATACAAAAAAAATTCAACAGAGTTAATTTTTTTACATACTAGCTAATAATCTCAATCTAAGAAAATATTCAAAACAAGCAATTTTAAGATAACACCATATGTAAAACAGTCGGCCAAGAAAACAACAACGATATTACATCTTTCTCACATATTCACACACAATCTTGATTAATAATTAAAACTAATCTTTAACATTGTTTGTAAAACGAAAATTGAAATTATACCGCGAATATTTCTTTTATAAAAATCGAAATTTATTTTCAAAGAGAAATAACGACATTTCTAACTTTGAGGATGAGGTATGGAAAGGTGAAACATGAAGAGTAATGGCGAACGGAAAAATAAAAAGTGTCCAGGGGCGGGAATCGAACCCACACCTTTCTGCTTACCGGGCAGGTGCCTTGTCCACTCGGCTACCCTGGACGTATTTTTCCGTTCGTAACTAAAACTTAAAGTAACATTTAAAATACAATATAACGCGGCTGATGATTGTAAAACGAAAATTGAAATTATACCGCGAATGTTTCTTTTATAAAAATCGAAATTTATTCTCAAAGAGAAATAGCGACATTTCTAACTTTGAGGATGAGGTATGGAAAGGTGAAACATGAAGAGTAATGGCACTTTTTATTTTTCCGTTCGCCATTACTCTTCATGTTTCACCTTTCCATACCTCATCCTCAAAGTTAGAAATGTCGCTATTTCTCTTTGAAAATAAATTTCGATTTTTATAAAAGAAACATTCGCGGTATAATTTCAATTTTCGTTTTACAATCATCAGCCGCGTTATATTGTATTTTAACATTGTTTATTATACTTCATAATATATAATATTCGTTAGGCAAACTTTCACTCGGATAAAACCCTGGCGAAGCCGGGTACACATCCGCTATCTATATTAATAAAATGGAAATTTCATAAGTGTTGTTCGCTAAAAACTTTCGTTACAATGCATCAATTTCGACCAAATTTTCAACATTTATGTAAAACGAGATGGAGCAGGTTTTGCTTAACATCAAAATATTTTTCCTAACATTAACATGCGTAACTTCGTTGTTATCGATTAAATACAAAAAAAAATCAACAGAGTTAATTTTATTTATATATAAATACAAAGGAAAATTCAACAGAGTTAATTTTTTTACATACACTAGCTAATAATCTCAATCTAAAAAAATATTCAAAACAAGCAATTTTAAGATAACATCATATGTAAAACAGTCGGCCAAGAAAACAACAACGATATTACATCTTTCTCACATATTCACACACAATCTTGATTAATAATTAAAACTAATCTTCAACATTGTTTATTATACTTCATAATATATAATATTCGTTAGGCAAACTTTCACTCGGATAAAAACCGGGCGAAGCCGGGTACACATCCGCTAGTATTCTAATAAATTATAAAAGTGTTTTTTCAAAGTCAGTATAAACATCACATCATTTGAAAAATATATTGCTATTAATGAATCTTATAAATTGAAATCTGTAAATTTGAAAAGAAATGTGCACGTTATGGTGATAAAATTTCATATATGAGATTATTAGCTTGATTTTTGGATATATGAGTATTTCTATGATATTGATATGCGCAGTCGTGGACAATAAACATTTATAATCATATTTACCTCAATTAATTTGATAACATAATTGATGATGAAATAATACCTGACTTAGAGCGAGAATAATAAAGAAAATAAAAGATGTATTTACCTAATAACAAAAGATCTTGAAATGTCCAAAGGAAACAGCAACAGATCAATTATTAGGCCTTCTACATGCTTGAGGAAAAGCATTCTAAGGCAAATAACTGATCATAAGGTGATTCCAGGCGCCAGCGACGGGGGAGGGCATAGGATTGGGCTGGAGAGGCGCAATCAGGGTGAGTGAGCACCCCTGTTTTGTGCTTGTCTTTAATATTTATAACTCATTTACAATTTATATATTTTATTCAATTAAGATAAAAATTACATAAGCATCACATTTAAATATATCCTAACCAACCAATTCTCTATTCTAACTATCTAACATTAAGCGATCTATTTACAGTTTGTTTTGGTCACTGGTCCAATATTTTTATTTTCATAGACCAAATTATGAGATTAATTCACAGATGAAAAATATGCAAAACAAATGAACAACTATATATATCAATTCCCCCTTCTTAGGCTTGGCCCCCCTTATTTATTTATTTACTCTCCATATCTCTGCGGACATCTGCGCTCCCTCTGAGGATACCTGGGGGTTGTAACACTTTTTTCCTCCGAGATTGGAGTTGGCACACATTCAGTATCATTCATATTATTGGGATGTGATTTACCAGGCAACATTTTTTTAATGTAGTTTTGATGAACTTTTTTTTTACTGTCACCTTGTTTTATTAAATAAACATTCCTTCCTAGTATTTTAATTATCTTTCCTGTATACCAAGAGGGATGCCCATTAGTAATCCACCTAAATTTCACAGTCTCATCCACATTAAATTTACTGTTAACATATTGACCATTGACTTTGGAGACTTTTACTTCTTCTTTTGACAACACAGAAAGTCTTGATCTGATCTTTCTTCCAAGAAACAGTTCCGCAGGTGATGTCCCTTTCCTAATATTTACATCTGTCCTTATAAAGAACAAAGCCCTGGACAGAGCCAAATCTAGTTCCACCTGCTCGTTTTCATATAATAGTTTTTTTAGCAATTTCTTTACCTCTCTTACAGAGACTTCTGCCTGTCCATTCGACTTTGGGTGATATGGGGGAGATGTCACATGGGATATGCCATTCTTAGACAAAAAATCACCAAAGTCACTACTAAAGAAAGGAGGACCATTATCAGAAACCACTACTTGTGGAAATCCGTAGCGAGCAATACAATTTCTCATAAAATTTATGCAAAAATATGCACTGGTAGATGGTACTTCAGAAACTTCAACCCATGAAGAAAATGAATCTACTGCTAGTAAAAACAGTCTGTTTTTGAAATTGAAATAGTCCCCCCCCATGTGAACCCTCCTCCATGGTCCTGCATATTTAGGCCAACTCTCAGTCCTTTGAGGAGGAAAACTTTCATTAGAAAGACAAGTTCTGCAAATTTTTGTAATTATTTCTATTGAAGAGTCCATGCCGGGCCACCAAATAGATGAACGAGCCATCATTTTCATTTTATTAGTCCCTGCATGGCTCTCATGTAATAATTGAAGTACCTTTTCATGTAGACTTTTTGGGATAACCATTCTATTCTCCAGAAAAATACATTTTTGGAGAATGGTAAAGTCATCAATCCTTTTTAAATAAGGAATGAGATCATCATTGAGACTTGAGGGTAACTCCCCTGTCTCAATAATTTTATACAATTTGAATAAAGTTCTGTCTAAATGTGTTTCATGAGCCACAAGAACATGGTCAATGATGGAAGTATTTAAGAGTAAAATTTCACCACTCCCATCACTATATTCCACA